CGACACATTTGTAATAATCAAAAGAAATGAGTTAGATAAAACTCACGACTTAATAAACAACGTCTTCAACGACATCAAATTTACAAGAGAAGAGGAATCCGAGAACAAATACCATTTTTGGACGTTTAGTCAGGCGAACAACCGCAGAAGAATTAGAAACTCAAGTTTATAGGAAATCAACTCACACAAACCAAATCCTGAATTACAACAGCAACAACCCAATAACACACAAAAGGAATTGCATACAAACACTATTCAAGAGAGCAAGGACTCATTGCAGAACTCCCACCTTAAGGAAAATTGAAGAAAAGTATCTCATGGACGTCTTCCAAAAGAATGGATATCCGCGGAATTTCATCGGTGGCACAGTGGTTAGGACTCTCGCCGACCATGCACATGGCCTGGGGTTCGAGCCCACAACGACGCACACCTGATATCTATGGTCGACCTGCGAAATTCGGGCTACCGATATCCATGCTGAAAATTCCATACTTGTACCAAAAATACGGTGTGGAATCAAGCTGTAATCAAAAAATAAAAATAAAACATATCCCCAAGCCAACTTATCAAAGCAAAAGCCACCAAGGAAAGCACAAATCATATTTAAATTTGGAAATCTTTCTTGCACTACGAATTGCTTCCACTCTTTGCCAGTCTCATCCATGAGCTATATGAAAATGCCACATGTGAAGTAATCAACAAGAGAAAAATTAGTGATGACAGGAGTAGGACATGGCTGCCTAGTATAATATTCCTAGTTTGGGTGAACTGGATCATGTGAGTGGGAAGCGAATGTGCACGAACCGATAGGAATATCCTAGAAGATCTGAACTCCGTTGACGGTTTACGTCTAATCTCATACAGTCTACGAGATCTACAGGGGTAATCAACAAGCTAACAGTCAGTTCAGGCGGTGAGGTGTAGAACTTCATGTGAACATAGAGAAGAAGAGAGTGATGAAGATAACTAACAATAGAAATCACTGAACGGCGGAAGAAATTTGAAGGGAGTCACTTCTTTCAAGTTATACAGGTAGCATAGTTTCAACTACAAGTGACACGCCGGATGAGGTTGTCAAAACCAGAATCAGATAGGCAAAAAAAACCTTCATTAATTTGAAATACGTTTGGATATCTCCCTCACTCGACATAAGTAACAAGATTCGCATTTTCAACACTAATGTGAAATCAGTGCTTCCATATGGTCTAGAGAGTTGACATGTGAATCATGAAAAGCATTTCCAAAAAACGTTGAAGATTTTTATCAACAACTGCCTTTGCTGGCTCTATAGTGAAGATCAGATTGCCGGCTAGGAAGGATAGGCGACAAGGGAATCTGGAAAAGAACCAATTAAAAACCTGTTGTCGAACAACTATCCCAAATAAAGTGCTGTTGGATCAGATGGACGCTGAGAAGACCGTTGGGTGACTTCGCGTGCCAGACCACCACTGGTGTAAAGCCGTCATTGGGAACGAAGAGTTGGTCATGGATCCGACAGTGAAACAGAGGAGATTGTGTGAGGAAGAGATGAGAGACTATAGGCAATCGTAGCACAAGTCAAAGAGGACTGCAGAGGAAAGGATTAAATGGAAATATGCTGCTGAAGCCATATGTTCCCTTCTCAATCCAGGCGAATACTAATAATCCATCGAAATGTTGTTGAATAACCAGTTATGCTTACTCACTTGACAATATGCCCAAAAATTTTGTATGACAACACCTGATTACTTATATCTCATTAGGCAGACAGCTGGGTGTTCGAATGTGCCACACACATAAGATGAATTCCGAGTGCCTAATCCATCACTTGACCATTGTGCGAATGCTGGCGTCACTTAGTTTATGTTAAATTTATCAGTGTTATCAGTGAATTGTTGAACTAGTGAACTTTTTAAAATTGTCATCAACATTGACCATGAGCTAACATCATTTAGAAGACCACTGGAAAACCTTGAAGTATTGGACAACCGTTTCATCCTAGTTTGCGACTACTATTCAGTACGTATCCCCCCACAGGGAGTTCGAACCCTGTACCTTCCGGTTACGAGGCTAGCTCGTAGACTTTTAAGCTACCTGAACTTCACCCAATGGTCCATAAATTATAATTTCTGCCATTTCGTGATATATATTTAGCGAAATAGTCAACCAGTGTCACGAGTGAGCGACTGTCCCTGGTTCTCCAATGGTTTCCTAACTTATGTCAGCTCATAATCAATCCTGTAGCCGATGAAATTCCTTAAAAAGGAATACTTGACAAAGTGCTTTCAGTTAATGACCCTTGTATTTGAATATTTGTTTGGTATTAGCTGGTTGGAGGCAATCGACAGGAAGCCTTGGATCTAGGCGTCGTGCTGGTTGGCACTCCCCCAGTCACCATGGCGTATCTGCAACCTCGAACGAACTCATGTCCTTTCTGAGATTAGAATCCACATCGTTACCCAGTGCTGCTGTACACAGACGTTACCATTGAGCTATTCAGGTTCGAGATTGACCTCCTGTAGGACTGTATTGGATATTTTTGGTTGCACACTAGGTGGCGAGCCACCTCGCATGGTGGTCGCGATGCAAACTTGACTGACTGATAGAATTCATTCTGCAGCAAAGATTGGACTAGACACATACACATTGCACTAGTTACTGACTAGTGTTCAGTCAGGAATATTTGTTCACTCAGTGCATTGTAGATATCCAGTTAGTATAATTATTTGAAATTAGAACATGTTTACCTATGTTCGAAGCTTGAACAATCTCTAATATACATATTGATGTCATAGGATTCATAAATATTCGTTTTGAGAACTCTTCTGAACAGAGCGTTTGTTATGCACCTAGGGACGAGATTAAATGTTCTGGGAATTCGATGTTCTCAAATATCTGTAAATATGTCTGCTACTTTCTGGGATAACCTGAATAGTGAGTTGGCTATGCTAGACCGTAGAATAGAAAGAACAAAAATGATGTCAGTTTAGATACCAGCTAGCAATTATAGGTGACTGACTCCCGTCCTGAATCAGTAAACGTTGGTTTAGTTAAATTGTCTATGTCGGGCCAGGAGCCTAAATAAGTACTAAGTCAGAAGATTTAAGTGGTGAAATAAAAAAAACAAAGTAAATATTCAAGTGTTGGTTTGTAGGGATTTGATTGGTTACAGGATATCATCGTGAGCTGACATTAGTTACAGAACCACTGGAAAACCTGGGAGTACTCGACAGCTGTTTCGTCCTAGTTTGGGACTCTTCATCAGCACGCAACCGATGCCAGGTTCGAACTCAGGACCTTCTGGTTACAAGGTTGGCGAGCTCGTATACCGTTAAGCCACTGAGAACCAATCCAATAGCCCACAAATTCTAACTTCTGACAATTCACGACATAGCGCGATCCCAGCCAACGTCTTCGGCGTGTATTTGTCCTCACACCCGACGCGCTGCAGCCCCCTACTGGCCACGACTTCTCACTAGAACCCCAGGTAACTAACTACCTGAATAAGGCCAGTCGCTAGTGAGCATCTCATTGATATTCAAGTGTTGGGTTGTAGGGATTTGATTGTTTACAGGATTTCATCATGAGCTGACATTGGATTAGGTCCCAGTGGCTTAATGGTATACGAGCTAGCTCGCCTTGTAACCAGAAGGTCCTGGGTTCGAATCCCGGTGGGTGCGTACTGGTGAAAAGTTCCAAACTAGGAGGGACGAAACAGCTGCCCAGTACTCCATGTAGGTTTCCCAATGGTTCTCTAACAAATGTCTGCTCATGATATAAGTAAATATTACTAGTGAATAACACACTACCCACCTGAATTTATTCCGAAGTGTATGAAGAATCCTAAAAAGCCTGAATTAATAATGAAAATAACAAAAATAATCTGAACATCATAGCTTTTTTAGTACTGTCGTATAGAGAAGGATTATAAGTGGTCCTATGTAGGATTCTTAATGTGGCTGGAATTAGAGTTGCATTGAAACCACCCAATCAACCAACTGTCTCAGAGATAAACTTTGTTGGCTTACGGACCCAAGAGATGCAATTAAGGTAAATAGCATAATTTACTAAATAAGATGTAATAGCTGTGAGGTCAGTTGCATAGGTCAGTCAAACCACTAGATCAATGTGAATTAGACTATCTGAAGATAGAAATTTAGTTGGAGGTAGAATAGTTGACTCAAGCAGATTAATTATTGCATTCACTTGCATGTTATTATTATTATTATGTAATCACAAAATAGGGTGAGTGGGACTGTGTGAAAGTAATAAAAAGTGATATAGTTATGTGGAGAGAGAGCGAGGGAGAGACGGAGAGTGATTAACCACTGAATCTTTGTTTATTGATTCAACACCGCATACGTGCAGTAGAAGTGATGCAACGCGTATATCGAAGATGTGGAAAGTTACTGTAAACGTCATCCAGTTGTTAATACTGCATCATCATCACTGTGAGATATTGAAAGTGAACTTATCTAATGTATGGAATTACATTCTGCCACACAGTGCCCAAGTTCTACACTTACATTCGATTTGTTATAGTCCCATGACTATCTCTATTTGCAGAGTTAAGGTACTTCTGGAAGCATGTGCAATTCACGTACATTAGTTTCATTCTGTAAGACACTGATAAAGAGTTTTGGGTAGCTACTCAAAATGTTTACAAGACTTCCTCCTTGTGTCACTGAACTTGGTTATCTGGTAGAGATTCTTTACATGTGTTAGGCTATCCGTCACACTTATTGTGTAATAAGTGTCAAGTGCTCAGTTTCAGTGAAAGTCATGTACTCAAGTCCGCTGAACTATTTCTCGGAGTTAAGAATGATTCAGTGTCTTCAAAGGATTGTCTTCCTGTCTAACGATTGATCTAGTCATTTGTTCACTTTGATGTTTGCATTCCAGTTGTTCTCACTCAATACTCTTGTTATTATGTAATACGATAAATTTATTTTTTCTTTATACATGTTCTATCAGTGTATATTGTTTGTTTCTGTATTTTCCGTCTATTATCTCTTTCATAGCGTATAAATTTCATGCGACATAAGAATTATACGCTCTTTCCGAAAATGCATCCATTCAACTACGGTTCACCTGTAACATATAGAACCATGCTCACCATGCCGTCAGTCGGTGGTAAAAGACGATTGAATGAAGGTGTGAGTGATGAACAGAAAAATGATCAACGTGTATGCAATCATGAGAATTATAATTATTATGCAAAGTGTGGACAGATTACATCAACCCGCTATAATTACTACAGTGAATCAGTCATCAAAACTCATGGTAATTATACACGGAACTCTATTGAAGCATCAGCGGGATTATCCTGCCTTAATGAAGATGAACAGATTACCCGTACAGGTGATAATGATGAAAGTGGCGCAGATGAATTTGCCCGAATGGACGAAAATCAAGTATTTGAAGAAGATTTCCACTACAAGACGTGTGCTTATTTCAGTTGGTAAGTAAATGCCTTGGCTATATTGATGTCATCTTCGTGTTATTGGACTGTCAGACTGTGCCTTAAGAATATAACAGGTATAATTTGGAGAAGATTTGTTGCCCAAGTAGGTGCTTTTGGTGTTAAATGTGTTCTCTGAGCTGGATGGTTTAGCTGCTAAGATTTTCTTGTCTTACTAGACAAGATCTTCAAAACATGCTTCAATTTGAAGAGAGCTTTTAAATTCCTCCACGAGTTTAGCTTGAATGTCGTGATTAGTTGCCTTTGTGTGTTTTCACATCTTCTAGTCTATTTGTATTCCTGCTGATTGTTTCCTTGAACTGAAGTTTAATTTTTTTGTGCATGAGATTTCTTCCCTATGGATTGGTAAATCTTGTCGATGTCAGTTGCTGACTCAGTTGAATACCAGGCTTCCAAAAACTCTTTAGCGTCTATGGTATTTATTCAATCTGTGATTAGTCTGAGAAATGATTTAAGAAACCGCATATGTTTAAATGAGTCGTAAGACCTTTTGGGCCACATTCAGGTGGTCGTGATACAACAGTGGAAGAGAAATATCTCTCTTACACCCCTTCGGTTTTCCACCCGTTTCGAACAACGGAGAAAAGCGATTGGCATGGAAGCTACTGGGATGACATTCACAGTACATGTTTGTAACAGAAGAGCCCAAAACGATCTCTACTCTTTGTAGAAATCTCTCTCTGAAGCTCAGAGTGCAATTTACACCGTCTTAGGGGGGGTGGGAATTTCACCATACAGTTTCCTTTGGAAACCAGAACTACTCAAATCACTGCAGTGTGTCATCTGCTTGACACCATAAATGGTAATCAGGGAGGCGAGAATAAATCCAGAAAAACAAATATTACTTATTGATTGAGACGAGTAGTCGCTTAAGGCTCATGTAAATCAATAGTGTGCCTGTATGTCTACGCTTACTTCTTTGACTAATATTTACGGTATGAAGCAGATCATGATGTGTGGTCTGGTTTTTCTTTTGGAAACCATAAGAAAATGATGAAGTGAAATTCCATCAGCCTCGAATTTCATTGAAAGTGTTACCAGTTAGATAGTCCGATATTCGGCTATCGCTTTCAGTGAAGTAAAACTAGGTACACCAGTGATGAGTTCATCCGTGAATAAGTGATGCAGACAGCCATCTGGTATTTAGATCACTTCGATATTGTTGGCTAATTAGCACTGCTGGTCGATGATGTGAGTGGTGTGCAACTAATCGTTTCACTGAATCCGTAGTATATAGTTTTGCTCATTTGACTCTCAACTACCAAGTGGTATCGTAACGGAAGAAGGCAAAATAAAACTTGGTTACGGAGCATATTCATTAAGGAAAACCACACCATAATTATACATTTTTAGCTCCATTTATGATAAGCTAGGTCAATAGATGATAGTAAACCGTTCTGATTGGTCGCTGATATTCTGAAGGTCATGCCTTTAGATTCTTTAGATTGGTCCAGATTTGAGAGGTAAATGCTTCTTCCTACTTCTGCAGCCACTGTCATAAAATGTCAGTTGTTTTCAGTTTTGACTACTTCCTATCAATCTGTGTCTATATACTACTGATGGCAAATCTTGTCAGTAGTACACACCACAGTATGTCTATTTGAAGCGTTTGGGAGTCATTATTGTGTTTTTAAATACACCAGGTTTGCATAAATGTTCAAAAATGACGATTATTTACTAGAACTATTATAAAAAGACTTGACATGGATTGTGTAGACAATATTGATCAATATGTTTACAACCAGCTCATTGTGATTTTTTTTTTGCATTTTTGTCGTTGTTACAGCCTTCAACAACACATAGTTCCAATTGATCTGGCCAATGAGAACACCAGGCTTGTTGATGATCACATTACAATGGTGTTGGATACGTTTTGTATTTACCAAGAAAGGAATGATGATTCGGAGAAGAGTCAAAATGACTCTGCCTACCAAACTTCAGACAGTAATCATATGAATAGTAATGATGTCAGTGATGTGAAGGGACGCTGGGATGAAGATGATTCTACACGAGATTCTCAAGATACTTTTGAGACTACATTAGAATTCTCCTCATTCAATCGTACGAAATGGAGTCTACTCGTCAACTGTCATTGTAAACATAGTATTGATGATCCTGAAAAGTTGAGCAGTTTTACTGAAGTAACAAGCGATGTTAATTTCTCTAAATGGAGTGACGGTGAATCATCGAATGTTATCAGCTGTAATGAGAGTGATGGAATGCTACAGTCGGATTCAATAGGAAACTTCACGTCGATTAAATCAGGTTGGCTTTTTCTTCTGAAAATAAATTTTTTTCAAAAATATTTTTTCGCAAAGTCTTTACTTTTCTGCAACGGTGGCACAGCGGTTAAGACGCACGCTGACCATGCACATGGTCCGGGGTTAGACCCCCGGCTGTAGACGCAGTCCTTTACCTCGCTAAGCCAGAAATAATGCTGGTAAAGAGGAAAGGCTGGTCATGAGGCTAGCAACCCCATCCTGTAAAAATAAACACTGCTATAGAAACTTCAAGCCACTAGCTTGAAGCCCTATGTTCCACTGGGGAACGTGCAGAAAAAAAGTCTTTATTAACAAGGTTGAAATGTATTCACATTAGTGTTGTAACAACGGAGGATTTGTAATGTTTCTGTTTGTTTCTCACTTGACACTAGAATAAGCCTTCAGTCATGATGCTCGCTGTAGCCAACTAATCACTTAGAATTATTTCCCCCAAACTGATTTCTTTTTTAATCCTTTAGGTTCCCAGTGGAACAGACTTCAAGTTTCCATAGCAGTGGTGTTTAGTTTTACAGGATGGGGTTTCTAGCCTCATGTCCGACCTTCCCTCTTTACCAGTCTTATTACTAGCTGAGGGAGGTAAAGGAGTGCATCTCTGGTCGGGGATCGAACCCAGGACCACCTGTGTGGTCGGCGAGCACTCTACTGCTGTGTTACAGACACACACACTGAGTAGACACATAGAATTCGGATTTAATTGAGAAAACTGCGGCAACACTAACAACTTTTTATTCACAATCCACAGTAAATTATCCTGTACCCATCAGCAGAAATTTAAACCATGGATAATTAATGACTATCTGATTGATTGTACCAGTCATAATTTTACGGCTAACACTGAAAGTCAGTCAGTCCCAGCATCTTCCCTCTTTCAATAGATTTTCAGCTGGAGGACCACTACTGGAAGATATTCGTGGGTCTGAGTACTCTCTGCCTATGATCTATAAATAGTTTTGGATATTTTCTAGATGTATGGCCGACTTCACCAGAAAAAAGTAAAGAAGTCGTTACATTGTTCGTTGATCAGAATTAGGCATTTTCAGTGGATACTGATTACTGATGCATATTCCCCGAACACTTTACGAGAAATTCAGATCGTTTCATCAGAATCATGATGGTGAAAAAGTATTTTCCAACAGGTTGGTTCAACTAACCGAATGAATGCCGAATAGATTCTAGTCATGACGTTTTGTAAGATGACGTAAATCTTCCCAATTATTTGAAAAGAATATGACATCTTGACAGATTTCACCAACTAAGTTCGAAATATCTCCAGAAGTATTTTTAACAACATGAAAAGTAATGGAAACTGTAGGGAGAGTTCTTTTCCCTCTCATCTGAGAGGTAAGAAACTGGAGTGAAAATCTCTTCGCACTTGAAGTGGTCATATCTCCTGGTTTTGCACAAATAGTGCCTTCACACTAGATTTCGATGCATCACTGGAATACAGATTCTCGTTCTGACTGTTTTAACACCAGTATTCAAAGATTCCTTGAAACACAACTGTGCAAATAATGTATCAGTTGATAAATTACCCTGTGCTTCTATGGCTGAATGAATGACAGAATCAATAATATCAGTATGCTCATGACTAGATAACTGCAAATACAATTTACTAGTAAGCAGCACTTCACATAGTTTCACTTGTAAGTCTGTTGTTACAGTAACTTGACTGGCTCAGAACTGGAGGACATGATTTAAAAACATCTTGCTGAAAATTAATGACCTGATATTCTTCTGAATTGTATACCACGTCGCCAAATGTATTATGACGACGATGATTTGAATACCCCGTTGCCAGTTTTAGTGGTTTGATGGTTGTTGTCTATCTTGACTACAATGCACCTCTAGACAACTGATTATTTGAAGGTATTCCCCCACACTGAGAAGACGTACAGAAGTTAGATTTAACTATCATAACAACAACCTTGATGATTGCATCAATCATCATTTTCCGGCCAACAAGTATAGTTATTCTTACTATTCCTTTGCGTTCCAAGTAGAATATAGGGCTTCTACAACACAGCTCTACTTTGTTCTATTTTCTGCTGTCCTCTTCAGCTGGTCAGCCACACGATTGCCCCTTGAATCTGCCATCTGCTCCCCTAACTCACACAATCTATAGGCCACCCTTGCACCGACGACCCACTCGTCGCTTCCCATAAGGATTCCACTCTACCAATGGCCTGCACTAAGCTCGATGTCATTCGATGGCCTCCTTAATGGTGTATGCCCGATCCACCTCCATTTTCTCTAGCATATTTAGTTAAGCGTTAGGTTCTT